CAAAAAAGACCAAGAGAAAAAACAGAACGGGAGAGCATAACAAGCCGATAATATTTCACCGCGTGGCTTTAAGCACGAAAACGAAAATACAGCTTACTTCTGGATGAATTCAGCCTTAGAAGCTAGAAACTGGTCCCAAATTACTTTCTGTATCCTTACAAATGTCCTTACTTCCATCTCCGAAAGATTTTGCCCCAATTTTGAGCAAATAAACATTTCGCTGAGAGCGACCGCCATTACGTTGGCTTGCATACTAAATTAGCTAACTTGACAAAACTCTCCCGAGGGGGGGATATGACGAAAACCGCGGAAAAATGGCGTGTTATTGGCTAATGATGATATCATCCCACTGTCCAAATTTGGTGAGAATCGAAAGTAACGCCAGTTTCCTGTCACGTTTTCAATCTATGGTCACTGGAGTGACCAAAATCGATACTATGGTCTGAATTGAGTAACTACAAAGACTACAGAATCGCGCTGCGCGTATTTTGACCTCTTCTTCATATGATGCTAATGGAGATGATCTCTTTGTTAGACTTGGCTGGCAAAAACTTAATCTTCAACGAGAATTAAAAACAGCCACTATGGTCTATAAATCTCCTAATGGTCTCGCCCTTGATTATTTGAAATCAATGTTTACGGATCGGAGTGCAATATCTACCTATTCTCTTAGGATTTTGTGAGGGCAAACTAGCTGTTCCACTCCCCCGCACCACTTTTTTAAAAAGTAATTTCAGCTTTTGTGGTGCGGTCCTGTGGAACAGCTTACCTACCAATCTGCGGCAAGCACAAACTCTTGCTAGTTTTAAATCCGGCTACAGGGGTTTCCTTTTTCATAATAAATAAGTTAATTAATCACACGGCATTCATGGAAAGCAGGCACTTCGTTATTGCTTTTATTTTTGTTGTTATTAGATTTAATTAGTAGTACACATTTCTAGTAGGGCCGTACGCGTCCTATCACTAATTCGACGCGTACGGCCCTCATAAGGGACCTTTTTTTCTTATGGTTTTCCAAAGAAATTGCGCGCGGGGCCGTACGGGTCATATGATAAAATAACGTCTCATCAGATTTTACTCACCCGACTCAGTAACGCATCCTATCAGCTTGATCCGGTGAGGATGAGGCTTCAGTTTTTTCATCACCTCAAGTTCTGACAGCAAGTCTTTTCTGTCTGAATCCGGAGCATTCACTACAAAACAAAACAAATAAAAGATGGTCTTCCTTCATTCCTTTTCATCTCGGCAGTTTAAAATTTCCAATCGTACCTTTCAACATTTTGATAGCAAACTTTGAGTATTCCTCGTTATTGCTTATGTTCCATACTGTTGCCTTGGCAACTTGAGAAAAAGCTCCTTTGCCAATTACTTTTACAATTTTGACCTGTTCTCGGTT